GTTGTTTCTCACTTGTTAAAACAGTTACTGCCTTTTTTTATTGGAATTTAGAATTGTTTAGTGGCATAGGTGTTTTTGAGGAAAATTTTTTCTTATTTTCTTTTTGGTTGAACAAAATATAAACTGGAGTATAATTAAAAGAATATCAAGGAGTAAATATACTTCTATTTACTATGTAAGAGTGATGGGCTGCTCATCTCTGAATTAAATCAAGACTCTATAAGGCTGTATCATTCCAGAACTGCATGGGAATTATTAAACAGATTTTTAACATTATAGGTTATAGAGAAAAATTTCATTTTTCTAAAATACTTCAGGAATTTGATTTATTAAATATTCTGGGTATCTTTTAAGTAGTTTCTATATTACATACATAGGTTAGTAATTTTTCCAATAATTAGAATACAGTAAAGTCATTTAGTGCCAACATGCTGTTGAATATAATTTCATCCTTTTCAGTTGGTTTAGGGAGTACTACAAGATCTTATTTTTTTAATTTTTTAATTTTTTTTTTAGTTTATTTTTGAGAGAGAGACACACACAGAGAGACAGAGAGACAGAGTGCGAGTGGGGGAAGGACAGACAGAGAGGAAAACACAGAATCCCAAGCAGGCTCCAGGCTCTGAGCTGCCAGCACAGAGCCTGATGCAGGGCTCGAACTCATGAACCACGAGATCATGACCTGAGCGAAGTCAGAGCTTGAAGTATCACAAAATCTTAAATGGGAATTGTCTTTTGCTGGATCAATTATCATTATATACTACTTGTGCATAGAAGAAAAACATGGTAATATGAACTTTCTGGCTGTTTATAATGTATAAAACGCTTTTATTGTCTTGTAGTAGTTGTTGCAATTAATACATGAATGCCAAGTGATAATGATATCCAAGACCTCTCCCTTAAAAAAGCCTTAAAAATTAAACATTTTTGAATTTTAACCTTTTGTCAGGAAGAGTCCTTGATATTTTTGAATTGGGAAATGGCTTGATCAAAGAGTGTTTTTAGAGATCTGACAGTGATATACTGAACAGACTGGTGCCAGGGGGAGTAGATGGGCATCAGGACAGGCTGTACAGCATGAGTAATCTGGTGACAATGAGATCAGAAATGAAAGGGCAGAGCAAGAGCTATTTTGAATGAAGAAATTATGTTTCTCACTAACTGACAAGATAAGACATTAAATTGGGGAATCTTCTAAGATGGTTCTAAGACTGTAAAAATGGTTGTAGAAATAGATAAATAACTTGCTTATGGAGAATGAGATTGTAAATGAGGCATTTGAGTCTGGTGTGATTTTGGTCATTGCTGATCTTGGGGAAAAAAGCAGTGTCAAATAAAATAAGGGGACTGAAAACTAGACTAAAACTAGATGGATCTTCTGCCTCGAATTATCATTCATGTATTTGAGTAAGCAAAAGGAAATCGGACTGATATGTGTTTGTTTTAATTTCCTAACCTTATTTTGCAGAAGGGACAGAATCCTCACAAATCTTCATATGTCGATCTTTATTCTTCACAGTAAATAGTGGCAACAGAACTCTAACAAATGAATTTACATTTTTATTTTTTGCTGTAACTATTAGACAGTGTTCAGTTTATAGATACGAGCACATATATTATGTATAAAATGGTGTATAAAGTAAAATTTCCTGTAGTAGGAATAGAGTCATCCTCTTAATACCATTTTAAATGGGTTTTTAATATTTTGAACACTAGATGTAATAATTTACACCTCCCGTATCTACTTCCACAATATACTGGATTAATTTATTTTACTCAATCTTTTGGAATATCGTTGTTTTAGTGGAAATGTGTACATCCTTAAGACATCTCTCAAATGTCATCATTTTGTAAATGTTTCATTATTTTTGGAACAGGTTTCTAGATCCATGATTATGTTCATTCCTCTTCCCTAAAGATGATGGAAAGCAGTGTAATTCATTGAAAAAATCAGAGACACATGTCATAGTAATGATTTCAAGCATTCTTTTTAATGGTTTTAGGATGTCGCTTTAGACACAATAATGCATGTAGTTTAATGTTTCAGTTGACAAAAGTGCACAATTTTCTTCACGATACACTTGTGTGGTTTAGAGTATGGATCTAAATTTATTTTCTGTATGTTTTCTTAAGAAGAATAGGAATTTTTAAGTAGAGGTTATAAATTTTACTTATAATTATTTAGAAATATGTCAACAAGAAAGAGGAAAATTTGATGGAAAGTGAGTAAATAATTCATGCAACATTAGAGCTTTAAAAAAAGGTAGACAATATTTTTAAAATTTGGTATATATTCTCATTTTATCTAGTGAATAAATATTAGAGTATTGAAGACTAGTCATATGATCCCTAAAGAATTTCTCATTCTTGAAAATGGGACAGTTCCACTTTAAATAAAATTGTGTATGAGTGAGTGAGATTTAATTATTGCATGTATGCTGTATAGATTCTGGAATCATGACATTCAGGCCTATAGCCCAATATTATAATGTATTGATTTTTGTGGTTCTTGTAGATGGCTTTTGGGGCCATATTTTCTTTCTTTTTTTCACATATTTTTTTTTGTTTTTACTTTTTATTTTTTTATTTTAATATAATTTATTGTCAAATGGGTTTCCATACAACACTCAGTGCTCATCCCAACAAGTGCCCTCCTCCCTGTTTGGGCCATATTTTATGCATATACAGATTTCAGATGTTGATTTTGGCCTTTCAGTCAAAACTCTAAAATTGTAAGGTCATTAATTATTTGTAATTCAAGTAAGAAAAAAGTGTACATAAAAGTACCTTTTGGTTTATAAATATGCATATTATCACAAAGTGGGATTACTATAATTGTATTATAATATCCTAGCTGTATATTTGTCATATATTTTACATTTTAAATATGGGAGCCAAAATGCTATATTATGGAGTAGTATGCCTTGATAGTTAACTTAGGCACCAGTTAATGAGATGTAAGATAAGCCTCTCTCCCTTATTTCTACACTGCCACATATTATGTGACTTGGTCTGTAACCTTAATGATGATGTTGGTGGCATTGGTGCTCTAGGAGATCTTTTATCATTCCTTTACATAGAAGAATCTAGAAAAATCAACTCAAAATAATAACATTTTGTCTCATATTATTCTGCAGTGTATCAAGACATGAGTGCCTCAAAATGCCATGTGCCAAATGTTCTTTCTCTCCACTCTTGATTTTAGATTTAGCTCTTATTTAAAATGTTCCGGAGGGAGGCAAACCATAAGAGACTCTTAAAAACTGAGAGTAAACTGAGGGTTGATGGGGGGTGGGAGAGAGGGGAAAGTGGGTGATGGGCATTGAGGAGGGCACCTGTTGGGATGAGCACTGGGTGTTATATGGAAACCAATTTGGCAATAAATTTCATATTAAAAAAATAAAATAAAATGTTCCTGATTTTCCCCAACCAGGTGATATAGCATAAAATTACACATCTGATTTGTTCATTTTACACTTATTGAGCCCTACTCTGTGTTAGTCACTGTGCTCAGTCCTGGGTTTTCATTTAGAAGATACACTGCCAAACTTCAAGGAATTTCCAGGCTATGTATTGGGCACACAGAGATGAGAACAAAATTTAATACAATGTTGACATTTTTGTAATGGAGATCTGTAGACTGGGAGATTGGGAAGTGTGGAGTCTGTATAGGAAGGCAAGGTCCAGATCAGAAAGGACCTTGAACACTATATACAGGAATTCAGATATTATTCCATCATAAATATGAGGAAACTGAAAAGTTTTGAGGAAAAAAATAACAAAAATTTTTAGGGGCACCTTGGTTGCTTAATTGGTTAAGAGTCTGATTCTTGGTTTTAGCTCAGCTCCTGGTTTGTGAATTTGAGCCCTGCTGTTAGCACAGAGCCTGCTTGGTATACTCTCTCTCTCCCTCTTTGTGTGCCCCTCCCCTGCTCACACTTCCTCTCTCTCTCTCTCACTCTTTCTCTCTCTCTCTGTCTCTCAAAATAAATAAATAAACTTAAAATTTTTTTAAAGAATTTTTATGTTGGGGAAGATGAATTGGAGGGGATAGTGAGTGACTCAGCAGAAAAACCATAAAACTGGTTTAATCTAGATGGACGATATTTAATCTAGATGGCCTGATTTAAAATCAAGACCTGTTAGTTTTTGCTAGTTGCCTCATTTTCTTGGTATCTCTTACTTAAAAATCTAGAGAGAAGTAATCTTGTTACTCCAGTTCATCATTTGTTCATCATTTGTATCATATGTATGAAATTCATAGGCGATTGATGCTGACCCAACCTGTAGCCAAGCTAATCACTTATGAAGTGCCCTGAGTAATCCTGAAAAATGTATCCACTCCGGATTCCACTTTTGGATTTGGATGAAATCCAAATGTTAGTGGATTAGGTAGTTTATTGCAGGTGTAGGGGGGGAGGTAAGGGGCTTGGCTGTGTAGGGAAGAACAAACTAGTGGGGAACACAGGATCAAAGAAAACAAGGAAAAGTTTTTGTTTTGTTTATTTTGTTTTTTAAGATAGCAGAGGTTCGAATATAGGAGTCATTGGCTAGGAAATGGTTGAAATAAAGAGTGTTTAATTTTTTAATTGTTGAAGTAATGTTAATGTGGCAGAAGATGGGATTCCAGAGCACAGGAAGATCAATAAGTCTTATATAGGAAGAAAGATGCCTCTCCCTCTGCAGTGGAGTTGAAGAAGAAAGGGGGAGTGAGGTGCAGATAAGTTTAGAAGTGGGCACAATCTGCTTACTAACACACTTTATGAAATAAGCAACAAAGAGAGCTGCTTAAGTGACTTAAAGATTTCCAGTAATTACTGAGTAAAATTCAAATAGGAGCCTAACAACTAGGGACATGATGAAGTGGGTTTTTTTTCCTCCTGCAGCCAAGATGTAGGTTGGAAAAAAGTGGACTAGTCCAGAGTTGAAATGGAGTTAACTTGTGACTTGGTAGGAGTTAATGCTTATTTTATTTTTTCTATTTGTTTGGCTAAACTGTTTGTTTCATTCTTGTCTTCCATATTTTTTCTTTTGCAGGTCTTGATGATTGTTTGCAGCAGTATATTAAGAACTTTGAGAGGGAGAAGATCAGTGGAGACCAGCTGCTGCGCATTACACATCAGGAACTAGAAGATCTGGGGGTCAGCCGCATTGGCCATCAGGAATTGATCTTGGAAGCAGTTGATCTTCTGTGTGCACTGGTAAGGACATTAACTGGTGGAAAGTGAAACTTGTTTTATTTCATTTAAAATTTTTTCCCCTTTTTTTGTTTCTTCCCTTCTTTTTTCTTCTCTATTTAAAATAATTTAATTTTTTAAAAATTTATAACTCTCCTAATTCTCAACTGACTAGAAGTGGTATTTTCCCCCTTCATTAAATTTGGTATATTATATAGTGCCAAATTACAAATTAAAGAGGCTTATAACCCAACTAGTGACATTACATTTAGTTACTTCAAAACCATATGTTAGAGCTCACCAAGGAAGTGTTCACAGCATCGTTTGGGGTATGCAGGTGAATATGATCAGTTATAAAGTCCATTCCCCTATGAAAGTTTTGATTTAGTGTCACAAATATTAAGAAATCCTATTAGAAACATCATTGTTAAAATAATCAAATTATTTGAATGTTCTAAATGTATACCTCCAATAAAAATTGAATATTATACATTATATGGTCTATTTTGTCAACTTACAAGAGAAATCAATGTCAAAATAATCCTTCAGGAGTCTGATAACACATTATATATTCTGAAAGGAACATTTTTTTTCCATGTTGGGTAAGGTGACACCGGATTAATTTTAAATTTTTGTAGATAGTTGCAAGGGGGCTAGAGCTACAGTGAGAAAGAAAACGTGAGTCTTGTAATATAATCATCTGTGATTGACATTTGGCTCAGTTACTGACACTTGTGGGCAAGTAATTTCATCACAACCTTAGTTTTTTATTTAAAATGTTGATAATAACAACTGCCTTTTGGATGTGTTGTGAAAAGCAAATGAGATAGTGTTTATATAGTGCCTAATTCAGTGCCTGGCCCACAGTAGGCATTCAATAAGTAGTTAACTATTAAGATGATAATTAATAAGAAATGAGTAGATAATTCTTAAAAATTCAATTGTCAGTTAATACTCCCAGGACTTGTGTGTCAGATGTAAGTTCCTGCCCTCTTAAAGAGCCTTAGGGGTGGAGAGTAGCACACAAATAATCACAATACTATAGTATAATTACCAAAATAAAAGTATAAGCTAAGTATTATGAGGGCACAGAAGAGAAAATAGCTAGCTTTGACTATGATAGATGGGTTCATATTGCAAAAGCATCCTAGAGTAAGATGAGCATGTGTTTGGAAGAACAAGAACAAAGGGCTTTCCATGTAGGTAAAACAACACCTACACAGGCACACACAATAAAGAGCATACCTGGTAGGTTTGAACTGTGGTTAACTTTTTGAGAGGACAAAAATACATGGGAAACATTGGCAGAAGATTAGGCTATAAAATATAGAATAGGCCCAGACTATAAAGTACCTAAACATCATGGTAAGAGATTTGTACTTTCTTTTGTGGATATTGGAAAACCATGTAGGAATGATCGAATACTTATTTTAAAAAGGTAACTGATGGTAGTGAAAAGGATGGGATGGAGTGGGCATAATCTGAAGACAAGGTGAACTGTTTGGTAATGTGTAAAATACTCTACTTAGGCTACCAGTATGGCTTAAACTAAGGATGTGGAACAGGAATAGAGAAGATGTGGTGAATATGAGGGATGAGATAAAGGGAGTTGAGAAAGATTCCATGCTTTCTAGCTGCAGAGATAGAGTAGATGATTTTGCAATAATGAAGATGGACAGTAGTATCAAGAATAGATTTAGCTGGGAATATAAATTGAGTTTTAGATTTGTTGAATTTGAGACATCTCTGAGTTATCCATGAAGAAATCCTCATCACAGTTGAACAAATGAATTTGGAGGTTGAGAAGTGGCTAAAGATAGAGATTTAGGAGTCTCCAGGATATAAGGATTGAATCCATAGAGAAAGAGCAGATCTACCCAAGGATGGTCTGTAGAATATAATGAACAAAGGACTCAGCTCCACATTTGGGCTGGGAAGGAAGAAGAGGAAGCTGCAGAGGAGGCTTATGGTGTGGTCAGAAAAGCGGGAAGATAACTTCAAAAGAATTGTCAGAAAAGCAATGGGGAACACTTTTCATTAAGGAACATCAATAATATCAAATTTCACTAAAAGCCATTAGAATAAGCAAGTAAAAACGTGATTGAGGGGTGCCTGGCTGTCTCAGTTGGTAGAGCATGTGACTATTGATCCTCAGGGTCATGAGTTCAAGCCCCACATTGGGTGTGGAGCCTAGTTAAAAAAAAAAAAAAAGAAGAAAGACCTGACTGAAAACAGTTTCTAAAAAAGATTACAATGTGAAACCAGATTGATTGAATATTACCTTCCACTTAGACATCTCAGTCTTAACCTTAATTGTCATTTCCTCAAAAAGACATTCTAATTATTCTCTCACCATTGACTGTTCTAAAATTAGCCCCTTACCGTTATTCTTTTAACCTTCATCTCATTTTGTAATTCCACATTTGTCAGTTTAATGTCTGTTTCATCTGCTAGATTGTAAGCTATGTGGCAAAAGTAACTATGCTTATTAAACACCTCGTGTATACCACAGATCCCTGGCAATAGTGGATGCTGAATAAATATTTTTTGAAAGTGGCATTGTAAAAGTCTTGAGACATTTTTCACATGATGGTTTGGGGATCTTCTTATTTTCCTATTGCAGAGATAAAAGAAATCAGTTTAGACTCGAGCAGGCACTTGCACTCTATCCCTTATCAGAATCAGATCACAGAAATTATGCTGGATATAAGAGATGGTACTCAGGGTAAGGTAAGAGTCTTCCATGGTTTTGCATACTAGTCTCCAAATATGAGTCAGTGTGGCCATGAAGGTGCACTGGAAGTGGCTTGGACATGAGCACACCATCTAGCAGTCCTCTATCTGCCACGTCTTTTATAACAGTAAGTAATTGGGTGTGTCAGAGTTCAGGGTGTTATGTCTCATAAGCAGGACTCCACAGATGAACCACTCATGTGCTGAACTTTACACTGTCAGTTTGAAGAAGGAAATAAGATTGATGATTACAATTCTACCCACAAATAGTCTGAACCTACAGGCTTTGGAGTTTGGGTCATTAACAATCTCTGCTGACCTAAACTTACTTAGAAAGATGACATCAGAGGGGCACCTAGTGGCTCAGTCGGTTGGGCATCCGACTTCGGCTCAGGTCATGATCTCACAGTCTGTGAGTTCAAGCCCCGCGTCAGGCTCTGTGCTGTCAGTTCAGAGCCTGGAGCCTGCTTCGGATTCTGTGTCTCCCTCTCTCTCTCTCTGCCCCTCCCCCACTCATGCTCTGTCTCTATCAAAAAATCAATAAACGTTAAAAAAATTAAAAAAAAAAGAAAGATGGCATCAGAGATATATGTTTAGACTATTTCAATGTTCTCACCATGGAGCTGTGGTAAATCTCTTCATATGCTGAGTTTTAATTCCTCCACAGTTCTGGGTTTAAGCACTACAGTGTTGCATCATTTTCTTGGGGAAAAAACACATTAAATTCATTCTTTCTGTGTTTATTCAGCAATAAATTGGTTACATTCCCCAAGGAGGTCAAATATCAAACTTCCCTTCTACCACTTCCTAATGACTATACATCAGGAAGTTAGAAGTGCAGATACCTTCTAATTTATGCGAACGGATATTTTCCAGTGAATTTAAAGTAAATTTCTAGGCAGTGAATTCTGATTTACTTCTACATACCATTATAAAATTAGGGGATGAGATCCCTCATCAGCAAGCTGAGTTGACTAGACCAGGAGGTGTGCTGTTGGGAATGGGGTATTGTGAAATATCTCTTTGAAACTTTAATGTCTCTACTGGCTTTCTACTTTTTCCTTACATCTACTGGTTTTATTTCTTATTTTAACAATTATATATTCATGATCAAACAGTGATACCATGGGAATTACAAAGATGAAAAAGGCACAGTCCATGCTCCTAAGATGTATACAGTCCAGTAAATAAGACAATAGTCATTAAAAGATAATACAGATTTTTTAAAATCCCAGAGGATTGCAGAAAGAAATAATGAATCCAGAGATCCAGGAAATGTAGGTGGGATTTGCTTTGGGACTTGCAGGATGAGTAGATGTTTGCCAGACAAAAAGTCGGGGAAAAGTTATCTAGGCAGAAGAAATATCATGTAAATACAGAAATGTGAAAGAGTATGAACTATTCAGAGAAAAATGAGAATTTTGATTTGGCTGGTGCAGAGAGGGAAGTGAAAGGAAGAAAGGCAACTTACATTTTGTATCACATTATAATTTTTCACTTAGATGGGTTATTTTGGTTCTTCAGTATGCTTTCTGCCCAGTGCTTACATGCAGAAGATATTAAATTAATGTTATCTTACTGAATGAAGTTCTCTGCCGTTTTCCAGAGAACTGTAAATTTTTCTCTTGCCTCTGACTCTGAAGTTTCTGTTCCTAATATAAGGAAGACACAAAAAATTCACCAAATGTCTTTGTTTCTTTCAAGCTATGGAATATTTTCATCTGTCTTATTTTAAAGTTAGTACTGATGGGGAATAAATGTTATGGCAGTTGATGAAAATCAAAGGTTTCTTTAGTAACATGTTCATTCATGCAACATGTATTTATTTAAACACCAGTTATATTGTTTGTACCATGTTATTCTAGAAAGAAGGAAGCTGTTCATGATTTGGAGGTATGTTAACTCTTTCCTGCTGTTATGCTCTCATTTAGTATGCCTCAATAGAGAGCTTTGTATATTAACTGCAAGAGTAAGCATAAATAAAATATATAGCTTAATGTATAGCCCTTAATTTATGCTCTGACAATACACCTTGTTATTGGGAAGTGTAAGTGGATCGTTTATGACAGGATAAGAACAGCTTTCATTTGATTCTTCATTTACTTTTCATATAATAGGTATTTTGCATGAAAATTTAGATGTCTGAAATTGCTAGGATTTGTTTCTTTGCAACATAATTGCTTGGTTCGTTCATCTGAAAATAATTCATTTCTAAAAAATATTCATTAAAGCAATCTTTTTACGACTCACTCATGTTTATAAAGCAAAGTATTATAAAACCTAAACACCTG